AAATCAAGGGAGAAAGCATGGCGCTCCTCACCTAGCTGCCAAAGGCTCCCTCATTTGAGAACTGAAGCTCTGGCAGCAACTTCGATCGGATCGTCCAAGGGAAGCAGACTCGGCACGAGCACCGAGCGAGGCGTCCTATCGCCACTGAGGAACCCACGTTAAACAAGGAGGGTATTCCCTCCGCTTCTGTTGTAAACATTTGATTATTAGTTTGTAATAAGCTGTTCTTATCAATACAAATGAAATCCCTGTTTTCGGGAGATCAAAATTTACACCTACAATATCAATCATATCTCATTTATCCAATAACATGTTAATTTTCATTATGAATAGGATAAATCATTTAATTACCAATTCAAAGAAGATAGGATAATTAGAATAGATTAGGATAACAATGTAATATTCAAAAAAATTAAGGGTAATATTGACCTGAAAAGATTTTCCTAAACTCGTACTTTTAAAGAGAGTAAGTATATATTAATATAAATATACCATACTAGTTAAGATGCACGTGCAACGGACATGATTAATTGTCAAATTATTAAATTAATAAAAATAGAATTAAAAAAGAAAATAAAATTTTTTGTGAGATTGATCATCAACTCAATAATCTCTCCAAATAAAATATTATCATTGTTTCCTTTAATTTAGATTGTGGTCACGCGATCTACGTATTTGAGTTATAAACACGTTGATCTAATACAAATCTCTGTGTATTAGTGTTTTGATGTCTTCAAAAGATGAGTGATCATTCAATTCGCAAAGAATATTGCATATGAATTACTTATAATATGTTCATTAAACTTTTAGTATGGTTGATTCATATTCACATTAAATTTTATTTGTGTCATCATATTTAGATTACCTAATGTTCTCATTCAATTTTATAGCTTATTTTTTGAACCATAGAAGTAAAACTAAAGTATGAAGAATTATTTCTTGAGAAATTAAAAGTAGAGAGATTAGTATATTCGCCATGTGCTCTAAATATATTTTTTCTTGATGCAAAGTTCCTATCAATCTTTCTCCAAATGATGTGAGTGAAAAATACTATTATAACTCACTTGCCTAGGGCAATTGATTGTATATAGGATATATAACTCATCTGGAATATCCATATCTGCTAAGTGGATTTGTTGCTATGAGCGAGCAAATGTTAGAGGCTCGTATTCAAACTTTCGGCTCTATAAAAGGCATAAGAATTTAGAGGGCATAGCTTATTATCGTAAAGAATACATAAGTTCATGAAGAATTTTACCTAATAATGATATTATTACAACGATATTACTATTTAGTATTAAATCAATTTTATTATATAAGATTATATGATCCTTTTTAATAATTATACAGTATATATATGGAAAACTCGGATGTTTATGGTCAGTAGTTGGGCTCCACAAAATAGGTTAATTTTACATTGTAGTTTGCTATTGGTAGTAATATTAACAATGCCATTATCTTTTATTTTATCTTATTATTCACCGCTTTTTAATGTAAGTCCTATTTTGCTAAACACTCAATTGCTATATTTAGTTTTTTATAATTTTAGAGGTTAGAATATTCTCTTTATTTAAAAAGTATTGATATGGTTTTCTTAAAAAATATATTCATATAGTAGCAATAGTATATATTTCATATTAACTTAAACATTGGCTTGAAGCATTTAGAGTGAGATCCTTTCTACGCTAGAATGATGATATAAGATTACCACAATCCAAAAGTCAAAGAAGAAATTTCTACAAAGGAAAAGTATTTAATATGTCAAATTAACACTAATTTTAAAATATACATGACAATGTAAATAGCTATAGAGAGCAAGATATACATCTTCTGAAAATTCCATATGAGTGACCAACTACAATCATCATAATTTAAGCATAAATAATTATTATTTTAGTACTAATTTTGGTACACGTAACTATGAAATTAAATTCTTAGCAAAAAATAGGAATTTGAGATTGTATTATCCTATAGCGTATAATAAATAAATATTATTAGAGCTCCTCTCTTATATTAATTTAAAAATAATAACTAAATTATTAAGCGCCAAATATTAGTTTCATGAGATAAAGTAAAGTATCTACGGTCTATATACATATATAGTCAATCATCACACATATTTAAATTATGATGACCACAGTCAAAACTATAGGTAGGTTCACATTTAATATAAATTTATAAAAATAGTACATTAAAGTCAAAAATCATTTAACCACTATATAGAGTGCCTGAAATTTTTTGGCATTATAAACTATACTGCCTAGGAATAGTGATGTGTGGCCTAATACATCTTATGAATACTTACTCTTTAATATTATTGTTAATTGACATATCTATGCATTACATAACAACACAATGAAAATTTAGAAAACTATTAAAAGAATCACCCTCAAAAGTTTTTTAAAATTATAAAAAATACCCTATTTTTGTAATTTAAAATGCCCAAAACTATTAAACATTACATTGAAATCAAGAATTACAAAAAAATCATTAAAAATATTCAAACTTTGGAGAGGCAATTTGCAATGGGGTTATATATATATATATATATATATATATATATATATATATATATGAAAAATTGCTTCAAGGCCCCAAAATTAAAAAAACAATGTGGCCCAGACCCATGTACTTTGGCCCATATGGCTAAGCCCTTAACAATTCAAAAAAATGTAACTGAGTCCTAAAAGCACATCTCTCAGCCGTATTTGCACCCAGCCTCCCTAAAATACCACCGCCTTCAACTCCGTGCCTCGAAAACGAGATCCGATCGCTGGCGATCCCTCCCCGTCGCATTTAAGGCGAGGTGATGGCCGTTTTGGGGGGAAATTTTGGCGCGCTCCCTCCATTATATATGCTGTTAACCCACTCGACTTTGCATAGAGTGTATTTATGGTGCAAAGGGCAGATTTTTACGGTTAGGGCTTATGATCTTCAGCCCCCTACTTGTCCTAAAGTGCCCTTCATAACTCCTCTTAAATCCCCTTTATTTATGGCGGAGAGCCCCCTTATTTGCATGGTTTCCTTGGGTGAGAGAGCAGTGTTCTCAAGGGTAACTTGTGCAACCTCTTTTTTTGAGTTTAAGTTCGACGTGGCTGAGAGGTTGAAGGTTCCTTATGATGCGCTATCAATGGTTTATAAATCTGAAAGGATCCCTGATCTGAGTTTTGAGATCAAGAATGAGGATGATATGGAGTGTATGGTAGAGCACAACCCTAATATCGGGTGTCTGGAGATCCATATTCGAGCTACTATATATGTAGATGTTTCCAGATGTCAGAACACTCCGAAGCAACCTCCTGAAATGTAAGTTATATTTACACTTAATTTATTTGAAAACTTATGAATTGCATGAGTAAAATGTGGAGAAATGATAACATAGCGAATTGTTTCAGGTTAAATGTTAGCTTTTAACTGATATATGTTAACTTTCTACCGAAGGTTGTTAAGCTTTAGGGCATATGTGTTAACTCATAAGGGTACTACAGAATTTAAGTACAAGTCCTGTTCGTTATTTTAAGAAAAAACAATTATATTTGTGCAGCATTGTGAATACACTGAAGCCAGAGTTTATTAATAGTACTTCTGCCGCAAATCATGGTTCTGAAAGAATTCCAATTGATAATCCCAGCGGTAATAGTGTAGTGCGTTCTGATGACATTATTAACAACACAGTAATGATTCCTGGTTGGTGGCATAATGCATTAACTGAAGAGGGTCAAGAATTTGAAAGTACTGAAGAATTAAGGTTGGCGCTGACATACTATGCTCTGGCCAAAATGTTTGATTATGAGTTTAAAAAGAACGAACCGAAACATATCCGTGTATATTGCCGATATAAAGAAACTTACGAGTGTCCATGGATGTTGTTTGCTTCACCTGTTAAGAATGAAAAGAGACTTTCGATCAAGAAGTTTGTTAATGAACATACTTGTGGGCAGTACGGGCAAAATACAGGTCGTTCAAGGGCATCCCGTAAATTCATTGCAACACCGTTATAACCACTCCTGAAGGTCCATCCAGAAATCCGACCCGTTGATGTGCAAAAGGAGTTCCTCACAAACTACGACCTTAGAATTGATTACAGTAAGATATGGTAGGGGAAAGAGAGAGCACATGAGAAGCTTTACAGGGATATATATGAGTCGTATAATCAACTACGATGGTAAATGCTGAGCTTTATTGTTAACTTGTTAAGTTTCAAAGTTTGCTTGTTAAAACAAATAGTTAACATGTTCCTTGTTAAGTTCATTGATAACATTGATAACATGTTAAGTTTCACCACTAACATGTTAACTTTCTCTGTTACATTGTTAAGTTACGCAGATAATTTGTTAACTTTATTTGTTAACTTGTTAAGTTACCCCAATAATGTGTTAGCTTTTTTTGGTCGCTTGTTAAGCTACAAGGATAACATGTTAACTTGTTGGTTTGTTTCTTCTTACACGACTAGGTATGAGCGCATGGTAAAAGAGACAAATCCCGGCAGTTATATACATGTTGACCAGAATGAGGGGAGGTTTTCGAGACTCTTTGTTTGTTATGCTGCATGCATCAAAGGTTTCTTGAGTGGATGCAGACCCCTTCGATTTTTGGATGGTACATTTTTGAAGGATCGATATAAAGGTATGCTCCTTTCGGCCATAGCATATGATGGGAACCAATGTATATTTCCCTTAGCGTATTGCATATGTGATCAAGAGAATTTGATGAATTGGAAGTGGTTTCTCCAAGGTCTATGCTCCATACTTTATGAGAGGGCTGACCCTTACAATCCTCCCCACCAATTGGTTATAATTTCTGATGCGGACAAAAGAATTAAAGAATCAGTAAAAGAGTATTTTCCAGAAGCTCTACACTCGAGGTGTGTTCTACATCTTGTTGAAAATTTCAGGTTAAAGCTTAAGGACTTGGGTATGAAGTCGAAGGACACTCATGTTCTGGGGAACTTATTCCAAACTGCTTGTTATAAATACACAATAGCAGAATAGAATGAGTACATGAAAGAGATATATGACATGGATCCAAGGGCATACAACAGTGCTGTGAACTACTCTCTTGATCAATGGGCAAATGCATTCTTCCCGGGAATAAGGTAGCGTTATTTGGCTGTTCTATATCTATGCTAATATATGAACTTATGCTATTTAGCATGTTATCTTTGGATTTGTTAAATTCTATATCAGAGCTGTTAACTATATTCAGTTATTTCTTAATTGATAACAAAATTTCCGAGGTTGTTCACTATGTTCATTTATTTGTTAACTCTTATATCTGAGCTGTTAACTCTTGTCTGTAAACTGTTATCTGTACATCATTAATTGTTAACTCTATTCAATTATTTGTTAACTCTTGTTGCTAACATGTCAACCCCTGTGGAAAACATGTTAACTCTTGTGAAAAACATGTTAACTCTTATCGCTAACATGTAACTCTTGTGGCTTTAGTACATGTTAACTCTTGTTGCTAATATGTTAACTTTTGTGGCAAACATGTTAACTCTTGTTGATAACATGTTAACTCTAATGGATAACATGTTAACTCTCGTGGCTAACATGTTAACTCTTGTGGATAACATGTTAACTCTGGTGGCTAACATGTTAACTGTTAAATGTTAACTATTATATGTAAACTGTTAACTGTAATTAAAAAAAAAGTTAACTCTATTCAATTATTTGCGTCAATCCTTATTTATGACCTGTTAACTTGTATCTATAAACTGTTAACTGTAATTCATTACCTGTTAACTCTATTCAATTATTTGTTAACCCTTATTTGTGACCTGTTATAAAGTTATATATAATTTCAGGTATGAGCACGTAACATCTAATGTCGCTGAGTCTTTTAATAATTGGATAAGGGAGGCTAGAATGCTACGGATTCTACAAATGGTTGAGCATATTCGTAAACAGATAATGGTCCGAATGAGTAATCGCCGGTTACTTGCAGATAAATGGGTTGGATATCTCTGTCCACAAGCAGAGATGGTGCTTAAAGAAAATATAGAGAAAGGTCGTCCATTGGATGTTAAGCAAGCTGCAGCTGACATATTTGAAGTGCAAGCACATAAAACTACCCGCGTTGATTTGGAGAAGAAGACATGCACTTGCCGTGCTTGGGACGTCATGCGGATTCCGTGTAAACATGCATGTGCAGTCATCTCGTACATGAAGAGAGACATTTACCAATATTGCGATTGGTTTATGTCCATAGAAGCATTTAAAAAGAGCTATGACCCGATTCTCTATCCTATACCAGATTATGAGAAACGAAGCGTGCCAAGGGATGAGATCGAGCTACTTCCACCACATACTATCAAAAGAAAGGGGAGAAATAAAACAAGACGTATCAACAATCGAACAGTGTACAAACGACCTTTGAAATGCTCTCGATGCCACTCCGAAGGCCACAACCGCGCAACTTGCAATGAGCCGATCGCCGATTGATATGAGTTGCGGATTTGAAGAAACACTTTTGGGTGTATGTAATACTTTTGTAGTTAACTGTGTATATAAACGTAAAATCTAATCTAAACTCAATATAAAACTAGCTTTAATAGAAATGATAATTAATAAATAATTGATAAATAAAAGCTAGAGTAGAGTTTAGAAAACTTCTCAATAGATGACAAGATGGAGAGATGGAGATTTGAAGCCCAAACAAGAAGATAATCTCCTCCACTTGTGAAAACTAAAACAGCTTTAAACCAAACTCAAACCAACCATAAATCCTTGTTAAAAACTTTCTTAAACTTGTTTAAAACACTCTCATGGTTGCTAAGATAGAAAAGGGTTTGGGGGTTTATATTGGAAGAGGAAACAACAGCAAAAACCCCAAACAAATGACAAAAAAGCCCAAAGCAAACAGCTCAAAAAAATAGCCGTTGGAAACCAACGGTCAAATCGGCGGTCGACCGAGGAATTCTCGCGGTCGACCGCGAGACACAAAAAAGGCTGAACAGAGGGTTTGAAAGCTGGCGGTCGACCGCGAACTCATGGTCGACCACGACGGTCGACCGGGAAACTCTCTACTGCCCACTGACGAAAGATCTCAGGCGCGGTCGACCGTGGCGGTCGACCGTGAACTGATATATGAAAAAGAAGTGCTGAAAACCGTTTTTCTAATTTTAAAATACTGTTTAAAAATATCAAACAAATTCTAAAAAATATAAAACTTTGGAGAATGATTGTAGACATGATAATAAACATGCTACAATGACTGGTTTTCAAAAAAGACTTCCCAAATGAAAAATATCATCATTTTACAAAATAGACCAAAACATGAAAATGTAAACATATGAATTTTGACATTTAGGCTAAACCATGTTTTGAAACTTTGCACAATGATTATATAGACTTAACAAAATATGTATATGATTATTGTTAAGTCTAAAAACTAAGAATACAAAATTTTCACAAAATTGCATATTCTATGCAATGTTTTCAAAAACACAATAGTAAATATGAAATATGTGATTTCATATTTATAAACATGAAAACCCAAAACCATGCATGTATATAAATATATATAACTATACATATGCATAGAAACCAAAACTTATGTATATATATATAACTATATATATATACGAAGAAACCAATAAATGTGTGTGTATAGATATTGAGCTTAACGTACTTAACACACATAATATAAAACCTAAACTAAGTTACTCAAGCTAGATCTTGATCTTCAATAAGCTCGACTTGGTACACTGTGGATGAAGCTTGAACTTGATCTTTAACTTTGAATTGCAAGGCTTCACCGATATTCCGCCAACCTCCTTTGGATATGATCGTTGAAGCTCTATTCCATCCATCCTCCAACTACGTTGTTTGTCTATAATAAATAAGAAAACACAAATACTAGACAAACAACATTAGTGGTAAATTGTTTGTTAAACATCATCAAAACAAGAAGGCCAACAATCTCCCCCTTTTTGATGATGACAAACAATTTACAAAAAGAAATATATGCGTGAAGGAAATGAATATATAATTTATAATTCACATGCATATAAACAAGAAAGAATATACTCACAATATTTTTCCCCCTTTGACAACATCAAAAAGGGGACAAAAGAAATAAGAGAGCGAAAGCTCCCCTTACAAATAAGCATGGGTGAGTATAAAATAAGTATAGGGATTGCTCCCCCTATCAAAATGCCTCATGAATATAAGTATGGAATGAATACTAAGGCATACATATGTAAGCAAGCATAAATGCTAAACACGACTCACATACAAAGAGATAATAAGAACACATATGAATATATCAATATGAAAAATAGTGTCTCATATCAAAGAATGTAAAAACCATGTGTAAAGATAGATTTATGAAATCAAAAGAAAAGGAGTATGGGAATCATGCAAAATGTTTTCAAATAAAAACAAATCAATCAAATGAAATCATAAATCAAAATTTAAGTTCAAAAACAATGTTTGATCAAAAAAAAATTTCTTTGTAAAACTTGATCAAATCACATATAGAATACATTATAAGGCACGAATAGATGATCCATGAGCACAAACATATAAATATCATCATATAAGTGAAATATAATGAATTCAAAGTAACAAATCAAAACAAAATCTTTGACAAAAGAATTTCAAGAGAGGCAACAATATATCAAGCTCTTAAGCTTGTTCTAACCCATATAATCGATAAACATGATTTGGGAATAAACACCCAATAAACTCGGGGAGTTACATAAATATAAACCTCTCATGAAAATTGAAACTAATAGTCATGAAAACAAAATAATTAATCAATTAAAAGTTGTTTTCATGTATAAAAATTTAGAACACGTTTTTCAAAACAAAAAAAAAAACATTAAAAATTCTTGGCTTAAAAATTTATTTTGGCACCCAAGTCTTCTTGGTGCTGGTTTGTTTAGGGACATGACCCCTATCAATAAAACTCAAAGCCCTTGGGTTATGAACCCATTTGGGCGCATTTAGTGCACGGGTCCGATCATAGCAATAATTATGCAAATAACCCATTCGATTGCAATAAGTGCAATGAAGAGGATGCATTTGGTTATGTTGACCATGTGGATGTGCACGAGGAACATTTGCAAATAAAGATTGTCTTTTAAGATTGTTTTGCAAATGAGAAACATTTTGAAATAATGTTGGTCTACTTGAAATATTTTGCGATTTAGAAACTTTTCCCAAATCAAAACAAAACTTAGCTAAGTGACCAACTCTACCACAAAAATCACAATGATACACATTAGCATGCTTATGATGAACAATGGGTGCATGTGTGTGTACATGTGATGATGAAACTTGATGAGATGCACAAGGAGCATTGATATTTTTATATTTGTGTGCATCATAGCAAAATTTAGCTAAATGGTCTTTACGACCGCAAATTGAGCATTTGTAAACTTTACTATACAAGTGTGCATAGTGTGTAGGTGATTCATAAGTTATAGCACTAGATCTAGCACACTTGTTCATAAGTTTCTTATGCTTATCAATGCATGTGTTAAAAGTTGAATCTAAGCATGATATGCGGTTTTTCACAAGATTCAATTTATTATTGGTCACAACATCATTGATAATAGAAGTAGAGCATATATAGTTATTCTTAAAAGAATCAAATTTATTTCTAATGCATTCTACTTCTAGCATGACATCTTTATTAGCATGAGTTAAGCTAGAAATGGATGAAGTCAATTTTTTATTTTTCAATTTTAACATATCATTAATTTCTTTAAGAGTAACATTTTCTTGAGAAATGATATCAAAATTGGAAACTAGCTTCTCATGATCGGATTTTAAACTGACATGCTTGCTTTTAAGATCAATAAATTTATTTTGCAATTTAGTGTTCTCATGATCGGATTTTAAACTGACATGCTTGCTTTTAAGATCAATAAATTTATTTTGCAATTTAGTGTAGGCATGCGATAATTTCTCATATGCACAAGCGAGTTCATCAATAGATAAATCATTATCGAAATCGGAATCGCTTACTACACAAGAGTTATCCTCTTGTGGCCATGTGTATGATGCTCCACATGAACTTGAAGAAGAATCCTCCAAAGCTTGTCGGATTGTCTCCAAGCCCCCTTGATGTGCTTCAATAAATTTCCAAAGTTTGTAAACACTATCAAAATGAACAAATTTGTTAGAAAAGGATGAGTCAAAAGCATTAAGCAAAAATTCTAACAAAAGCTTGTTCATTGAAAACATTTTCTCATCATGATTGCTCCACTTGGATTTCTTCAATGTGGGCACAATGTAAACATAATCAATAACTTCCCATAAGTCAATATTTCTAGATTCAACAAATAGTTTAAATCTAGAAGCCCATTTTCTTTCTCAGGTCGGAAATATGTCTGACATCCTTCAGCTCCCATACTGACCCGTTCAACTTAATTTTCACCACACATTTGCCCATAATAGCACACGGTTGATCATTACCAAGATATACGTATCCAAGATTTTCAGGAACATACTTCTCGAAGAATTCTTTCTGAGAAGTAGCATGTATTAGACCCTAGAGTGGGGGTGATTAGGGTCTTATGCTAATCTAATCCGATTATATGCCAATTAAAACTAAATAACAAGTTATCCTAGCAAGTATGAAATACCACAAGATATATGAGCTAGGATAAGCAATAAACAATGAGATATATCCTATATGATAAAATATATATGCAAGGATATATAAACTAACACAAGGGTAAAGCTATGGACAATGGCGATAAGAAATATAAACATATGATAAAGAGCGCCAAAGCAAACTCAAACACACGATATGATCACGGAGTTCGGACCTTCCGTCCTACATCTCCACTCCCCTCTCCCGGGGAGAAATCCATTATCACAATCGGGTTTTCTACGTTCACCCGAATAACGTTTACATCTCACACTCGGTTTTCTAGCTAACCGAAAACTTTACAATCGACATTCTTGCAATCACACTCTACACCCTCACAAGTGTTGGACCTCGCCGTGTCTCCCTCAAGTGCTCGGTTACAACCTCTCCTTAGGCTCGTCAACCGACGCCACTCCTCTTGGGACGATCTCCGACTCTCACCACACACTCCTCTCGGTGTACAAGTGTTTTACAAAGTGAATCTCACAATTAGGCTCAATAAATGTTTGTTCTCTACTATGGATGAGAACACAATGAAAGCTCACACTCAATGTTACAACTCTCACCAACCCAAATATATTATGAATGCAAATACAATAAGCTCAAGTGGGTGTGTGCAACAATGAGTAAAATCTAATCTAAACTCAATATAAAACTAGCTTTAATAGAAATGATAATTAACAAATAATTGATAAATAAAAGCTAGAGTAGAGTTTAGAAAACTTCTCAATAGATGACAAGATGGAGAGATGGAGATTTGAAGCCCAAACAAGAAGATAATCTCCTCCACTTGTAAAAACCAAAACAGCTTTAAACCAAACTCAAACCAACCATAAAC